TTGGGGTTTAGTCCACTTTTGTATCCTTCCCTTCAAGGCTCAGGGGTCCAAGATTATCTTCTGTGTCTGTGTTAATTGATTTCCCTTTTCTTTGTTGAAGAGCGTCTCTGCAGTCCTTGAGCCTAGTCCGCCATCTTGCCGGAACTCCTAATTTAATTCTTATATGAGAACTAATTTTAGATTCAACAAAGACAAATTTTACACATGTAGGTATGCCTGATTCCATAATGTAAGATAAAGTGCAATTTATATTTCCCAAATTTAAAATTGCTTTAGGCATATTCCTCACTTTAATCATCACAAACTGCACAACAGAACTCATTTTCATCCCTAAAGAGACTCAAAAACACTCAGTGTACAACAGTGAGTAGAGAAAGACTTGCTTCATTACCCTTATTATGTATGGAAGTAGATATTGTTCAGCAGCTTAATTGTGACAAAATCACTGAAGAATTTGTAAGGGCAAAGAATAGATGTTTTTAATTGTAATATGTTAGAGATGGAAGATCTTTCTAAAACTAAAATGCTGTGATTTTTGTAATTATTGTTTTCTAATGTTTAAATTTTCTTTTACAACATCTTTTCATTTGTTCATTCATATCTATAGCATCTATTATGAAACAAACATTAAAAAGGAAGTATGAGTCATTTAAAGCAAAACTAATGAAAGTTAATTTTGGTTGTGGGTAATCAACAGAATTTTACATTGATTGTTGAAACAACTAATACCGTGATTCATTTTCTTTGTTATAGAATATGTAGAATATTCCTTTTGTAGAAAATGTGGTATATAGTAAAAATCTTAGTACTCCCACATCCATTAAAAATTTATAATACAGTTCATCTCATTCTACTAAAATGGCATACACCACTTTTGTGTTCAATTGCTTATAATTACATTTTAAAAGAAGTTACATTATGAATAGCTAAGACACACACACAAAAAAACAAACTCACTGCTGTTGAGTCGACTAGACTCATAGTGATCCCTCCTTGGGTTTCCAAGGCAGTATCACTAAGGAAGTAGATTGCCCAACCTTCCTTCCGAGGAGTGGCTGGTGGGTTTGAACCTCCATCCTTCTGGTTAGCAGTCAAATGCCTTAGGCACTATGCCACCAGGGCTCCTGACACACACACACACACACACACACAAAAAAAAAAAAAACTCACATACCCCATTTGAATGTGTGAGTAAGCAGAGAGGGGGCACCGCAGATTATCAGTGCTTAGGGTCCTCATATGCCTTAATCCAGCCCTGGAGATAGGCTATAGATTCAGCAATAGGTGGGACTCTTGGGGGCTACATGTGATTCATTAATGTAGAGCTACATTGAGACTACTTAAGCCAAGGAACATATCGCTGCCATGGAATCATGAATCTCTTGAAACAGTGCTCTGAAACTAATATACCACACTGAAATCAAAAGGAGTCTCTCCTTCTCCTGGGCCTTAAGTGGAGAGCTCCCTCCATGCCCATGTTCTCACCTGTCTGGGGTGGACAAGTACTTCTGCTTCTGGAATTTCTTCTCCAGACCCATGAGCTGTAGTTCAGTGAAGATGGTGCGGCTGCGGCGGGGCTTCTTCTGCCGGAGGGTTGGTTGCTCAGTCTCTGACTCACTGCTGGCCAGAGCCTCACCACCTGGGGCTTCCACAGGAGCAACCTCAGTGGCTGGATGGTGCGGTAACACCTGAGGGATTCCCGGGGTGGCAGGGACCAGGTGGGAGATGACTGTGGGCTGCCGAGTGATGACTGAGAGAAGGGGATATGCACGAAGGGATGAGGAGCCTGAAAGATAAACAGGGAGGCAGGGTCAGTGTGAGAAGCAGGGGTGGGAGGAGATGAGGGGCCCTCAGAGGAACACCTGCTGAGATGTGTATGCTGACAGCTGCCAGAGACAGGTATAAAAAAGCAACTCAAGACCTTAACTCAGCTGGGTGGGCAGGAAACACGCAGATTTGTTCAATCTGGTGTGTGAGAATGTACAAGTCTCCCAAGGCCAAGAACAGAGGCTCATGCAATTCTTCTGGTGTTAAATAAATCTTTCTCCTTTTTCTCCTTTCTGAACTCTTAAATTCTAGTTTCAAGGATATGTGTCAGGAGGACTTAGATACTCAGAAACAGCTAGAAACATATAGATTTTTAATATGAAAACTTCCTATGGTCTTTATAAAAAGATATGCCTGCATCCAAGAATTCTTCCTAAGAGGTCTCTATACGTTAAACCACAACATTTTTTCATAACTGAAAGGATGCCTTCATCCAATTCCCTCATTTCATAGATGAGGAAATGGAACAGAAAGGTTAAGGGACTTGCCCAAAATGGTGTAGCTAGGAAACAGTAGATTCAGGACTCAAACCGGGCTCTTCTAGATTGAAGTCTGGTGCTCTTGTAACATGAATCACACCACATGGATACATCACTTAGAAGAGGGGGCAAATAGTTTATTTCATGTACAAATTCAGATCAACTATTATTAGCTGCCCACAGCACTATGTAAAGTAGACTCTCATGCTGGGTCTAAGCTTCACTACGGAAGGATGCTGAGATTGAGTAACAATGTCTCCCATGGCAAGGAAGTAGTGGTGCCATACACACCAGTTATGAGCCATTCTTGACTTAGGAATTTCAAGGCAAGAATATACTCTTTTGTCCAACATTCTAACGTGTCTTGAAATTTCAAGTGAAAAAGCACTTTCCTTTCAATAGCGTAAGTGTAAAATGCCATGATTATTACCTATGTAATAACTTTCCCTCTCTGGGCCTCAGTTTTGTTGTCTGTACAGTAAGAATGGTTATCTTGAAGAACTGCTCACACTCTAATATACTGAGATCACAAAAATATCTCTCATGTCAAGGCCTTCATCTGAAGTCCGCTGAAAACCAAGAAGACTCATGGCTGCCCTCTGAGACTCAGCCCAGCCCTGAGAACCCACCACAAAGGAAAGTCAAGCACCTGGGGCCAACCAACACTCAGAACTGAACTAAAACCAAGTAACATCACAAAAACACCAAAGTGCTACTGTGTTCTCCCTCCTTCCTGGCCTAGCGTATCTCCTCTTATTCATTCCTATGCCTCTGTTTTGGACCCCAGTAATAGTTATTAAAACAGATAATGTCACCTGTTCTATGAGTAAACTTTTAGCAAGACCCAGCAGAGACCACATGCTGTTCAGTAACAATAAATCACCATGTGCTACTGCTTCCATTACCCATCCAGCCAACTCTAAGACTTGAATGTTGTGCCATGGATTCTTTCTAATAAATATAATAATAATCTGGGAAAAATATTTTATAGCAAGAAAATTAGGATACCTGGGTCTGTGCTTTCTGATCACACAGAACATATCATAAAATGATACTTCTTGGGAAAAGTATCTGAGAGGTTAACTCTGGGATAAGTTGTTTCTCACTCAAATCACTTTCTTCCTTTAATTCTGCCATTTCTTAAGGAACTATCTTTCTTTATTGAGCAGGCTACCCAGTAATCTAGACACTCAGGAGTTTATCAATCTAGGAAGTGACTTGTTACCTACCAGGAAGGAAGCATTTAAATAACCAGGGTTTCAGTTTCCTCTTTTGTAAAACAGTTAAAACTTTTGTTGTTGTTTTGGCCTAACACTGAAAAATATTTTGAAAATGTAGTAACATCTAGTATTGGGAAGGATATGGGGAGATAGGCAGTCATATACTGTTGGCAAGAGTATAACATAGTATACTCTTAGAAGGACACACTAAGCAGTATCTATCAAGTTACTGACCAGGTAACAATTCTACAATTTGAGATCTATTTGCCCTGTGCACACAGATTTATACATAAGCATATTCACTGAAGCCTTATTTATAATTGTGAAAAAATATAAATATCCTAGCAATAGGAAAGTGGTTAAATAAATGACAGTACATCCATAGTATGGAATACTATGTAACTATTAAAAAACTATCTATCTATACACATATATAAACTAATCTGGGAAAATATCTAAAATATATTATTAACAGATAAAAGTAATGTATAGAACAATTTATACTATCATCAAAAAAATCTGCATGTGAGTGTGTGTGTGTGTGCATGCATGTGAGTGTGTTTATAAATGCATAAAACAAGTCTACAAAATTAGTCAATAAACTTAACACTGATTACTTCTGGGGAAAAAGTGGAAGTGAAATAAGGTGAAAAGAGAACTCCACTTATTACATAAATTACATATTCAATCCTGCCACATATTTTATTGAGCATATACTATGAACCACGCTGTTCTGGAAGCTGAAAACATTCAGCAAATAAGATAAAGTCTCACCTTCATGGAGTTTACGGTTCATTAGAGGAGCGAGACAGTAAGCAAATAAATGCCGTTGTTGTTAGATGCCGCTGAGTTGATTCTGACTCATAGTGACCCTATGTACAACAGAATGAAACACTGCCCTGTCCTGCACCATCCTCACCATCTTTGCTCTGCTTGAGCCCACTGTTGCAGCCACTGTGTCAATCCATCTCACTGAAGGTCTTCCCTTTTTTCTCTGACCCTCCACTTTACCAAGCATGATATTCTTCTCCAGGAACTAGGCTCTTCTGATCACATGACCAAAGTAGGTGAGACAAAGTCTGGCCATTCTCGCTTCTAAAGAGCATTCCAGCTGCACTTCTTCCAGGATAGATTTGTTCGTTCTTCTGGCAGTCCATGGCATTTTCAGTATTCTTTGCCAATACCACAATTCAAAGGCATCAATCCAAAAACCAGTCTGTTATGTGAAAATTGGTATTATGAGAAAATGGAGGATGACCATAACAGATCACGAAATGGAGATGATTACATCAATACATAAGTGCCAAACTGCATTATTACATAACTAATAAACCACTGAAAAATCATGGCCCAGCCAAGATGACAGACAACTTTAACCATCCTGCCAGTGTTACTCTTACCTCGTACCTCAGCATTTGTTGTTGTTGTTGTTGTTGTTGTTATGTGCCCTCGAGTCACACCTGACTCATAGCGACCCCTCCTTGGGTTTCCAAGGTGGTATCACTATGGAAGTAGATTGCCCAACCTTCCTTACGAGGAGTGGCTAGTGGGTTTGAACCGCCAGCCTTCTGGTTAGCAGTCAAGCCAGGTATGTCGTTAATGTGAAAAATAGTCAGTTTTGGGTTTTTTTTTGTTTTGTTTTTGTTTTTTCCACTATAGTTATAAATCTGAAATGTCAGATAATGAAATAGTTGGTAAGTGAGGACAGGGTATATTCTAAACTAGAGATAACTATGGCTTGGGCCAGGGAATTAGCCGCTTGGCTTGTGAAAAGTGGTCACATTCAAGATATATTTTATTTTAGAGTTCAAAGAACTTGTTGAAAAACTGAATGTCAGATCTGAGAGAAAGACAGCTTCCATGAGATGCCTGGGTTTTAAACTTTAGCATCTAGAAAAATGATTGTGCCATTCACAAAGTTGAGAAAGACTGGACATAAAGTTGGACTGGATGGAAAAAAAATCAAGATTTCTGTTCTAGACAAGTTACTATTGGACATCCAACAGACTATGTACAGGAATCGGTTAGATAAACTAGTCTAGAGTTCAAGGAAGATGAAACAACTTTGACTCAAGGGAGTATATGATATTTACAGCCATAGGATTGCATGATATCAAACAGGGAGTGAGTGGAATAAAGGAACAAAGAGATGCAAGGGTTGAGCTCTGGTCCATTCCAATATCTGAGGTCATAAAAAGAGGAGAAGCCAGCCAAAGAGAACAAGAAGGAAGTGGGTAGGGAGATAATAGGAAAACCAGTATCCCATAGTATGTTGTTGTTGTTGTTATGTGCCGTCGAGTCAGACCTGACTCATAGCGACCCCTCCTTGGGTTTCCAAGGCAGTATCACTATGGAAGTAGATTGCCCAACCTTCCTTCCAAGGAGTGGCTGGTGAGTTTGAACTGCCAGTCTTCTGGTTAGCAGTCAAGTGCCTTAGGCACTATACTACCAGAGCTCCTCAATTGGCGATAGATAAAGAAACTGTGGTACATCCATATGATGAATACTACTCAGGGATAAAAAGGGAGCTAACTACTGATATATAGGAGCTCTGGTAGCATAGTGGCTAAGACACTTGCCTGCTAACCAGACGGCTGGCGGTTCAAACCCACCAGCCACTCCTCGGAAGGAAGGTTGGGCAATCCTACTTCCGTAGTGATACTGCCTCGGAAACCCAAGGAGGGGTCGCTATGAGTCGGGGCCGACTCGACGGCACATAACAACAACAACAACAACAACAACTACTGATATAGCATCATAGATTAATTTCAAAGGCATTTTTCTAATTGAAAGAATCCAGACTTAAAAAGCTCTATTATTTCATTTATGACATTCTGGAAAAGGAAACTGTAGGGATGGAGAACAATGATTGTCAGAGTTAAGGATGGGTTAAGAATTTGACTGCATACAAGTAGCATAAGGGCAATTTTTTTTAGGGGAGTGGGAGAACTATTCTGTATCTTAACTTTAAGTGGTGGTTACATGACTGTATGCATTTGTCAAAAATCGTAACTGTACACTAAAATAGTGAATGTTATTATATATAAATTAAAATAAATTTTTAAAAGTTAATAAAGATTTTAACTATTTTGCTATTACCAAAGCAACACACATTTGTTAGTAAAGTAAAGCAGTTGAGGAATATGTAAAGAGGTAGAATCTCCTTCGAACCCCAGTAGCTAACTATCCCAAAAGCATATGTTGACTAGTCCAATGACTTAAAATGCCAAGTTTAAGATATATTAAATTACCAAAAAAAT